CTCCCCCCCCCAACTTTCCACCTCATCATGTTAACTGCTTCGCGTAAGACTCCACCATACACCATTTTGAAAAGTGACATATGATAAAGTCTTATACTGAGCAGTGGACATACAGTGTTGTCTCTATATATTGATGTATACATTATGTTCATTTGCTACAGTCAATGTGAATAAAATTTCCTCCAATTTGTCATCTGTGTTCTGTTTTTGTGTTGTGTCATTGTATTGTCCCCTGTGCCAGTGGGTGGTTGGAAGTTGGTGGAGGGCACCACTGGAGGAAGACGCTGCTTTTTTCTTTCCATCTGTCACTTCTGTCTGTCTGTCTATACACTATACAGTGCGGGTGGTTGGCGGGTGCTCTGGTGTGGTTTACTCCTTCTTTCCTATCAAACGTCTATCGTCCTGATCTCTCCTCCTTCTTTTTTATGTGTGTTACTCTCTTGTAACACCTCTAATCTTCTGCACTTATATGACCTTATTGTGCTGCAAGTGCCGTAAAACTCTTACTAAAACTAAAGCACTATACATTGGAGTCCACCAAACATGATTAATCTGAAAACATTGGTATACTGAAAGAAAAAAAACTCTGAAATGTTTTTCTTCACTATTTTGGGGGTTTCTTTTTGTAAGCTTTTTACGGTGCTCGCAACTGCATAAGGTCATATGAGTATGAGCATGCGGGACACACCAAGCAGTGCCCGGGTGGCGGCTGAAACCTACTCATCAATTTTAGACCACCAAGGGATCTTTAACGTGCGCAACTTGCACACACGACCTCCAAGATTTTTCTCCCTTGTCCGAGGAACCTATTTGTAGATCTTACCTACCATAAGACCAGGGGTGTGGCTGAAAGACAGCAGTTAGGTTAGAGGGAGCCAAGGAGTAGCAGTAGAAAGGCAACAGAAAGAGTCCAGAGCCCAGAGGAGGGGGCAAAGGAGGTGACGGAGTGGGGGCAGAAAGTAGTGACGAAAGCAGACAACAGAACACTGTTAGAGAGCAGGAAAGGAGGTGAAAGGAGAAAATTTTCCGTCGCTATCCGGATTGGAACCCGGAACTTATTGAAATTGAATGAGAGGCGAACACCTTATCCTCTAGGCCACGAGAGCCCCCTTCACTATTTGACTGTCCCCGTCGTTTTATGCAAGAAAAATTCTGAAAGTAAGCAAACTCAGCCCAAAAATGTGAAATTATGCGATTCTGTTAATTTTAACAAAGAATGATAAAGGAAAATAATCAGAAATTAAGCAAAAACGATCCAATTTTTGCTAAATTATGCGGGGTGCAGATTTGAGCGACCTCTCTAAATACCTGTCGCCGTGGTTTTATGCACCCTACATAATTTAGCAAAATTGGATCGTTTTTTGCTTAATTTCTGATTATTTTCCTTTATCATTCTTTGTTAAAAATAACAGAATCGCATAATTTCACATTGTTGGGCTCAGTTTGCATAATTTCATAATTTTTCTTGCATAAAATAAAACGATGGGGACAGCAAACTAGAAAACACTGGTAGGTAAGCCCAAAAAAATCTGGTGGTCCTGCAGACTTCACATTTCACTGTATAATATCATTATTATTTTCCACTTTTCCAACTGTAGAGTATAGCCTTTCCCCTCCACTAAGTCACCATTATAAAGTCAATGTAAAAATAATTTCCCCCGGGGGCGGTGCCGCTGACTGAAGTGTCTTTAGGCATTTCCGAAAAGGGGGGGGGGGGGGGGCATTTCTCGTTCAAGCACAATAGAATTCTAAATGGGCTGATTCATGTCACACCCATAACTGTGCCTGATCTACAACAGGGAACTGCTGCTTTTTCTTTCCTGATCCTTACTATCGCCATTTTCCTCTACTTCTTTTGTATGTTTGTCACTCTTGTGACCTGCTATTTCCGGGGTGCCTTGATAGTTGAAGCAGACCTTGTGCTGTTGAAGCTAGAGAGATGAGCAGAGTAAGTCTGATTCCCTGTAAAGACTTCTCTGTTGACATCCACCCCTTGGTGCTCATATGACCTTATGCAGTTGCGAGCGCCGTAAAACCCTCTACTATAATATTTTAAAAAATCATTAGGGAGAGAGCTGTCAGAAAGGCACTCAAGGCTCATTCTTCTCAGCAAAAGAAATCTGCCAGGAAGAGGCTTTACACTCAAGGCATGGGGCCTCCTTCAAAGAGGCAGAAGAAATACTCAAATAGAGTACAGATTTCTTTCCTGATCAAGCCTGTAAGCTGTTTTTATTACAGCAAAAGGTGTTTGTGTTATATTATTGTAGTTTGTATTAGAGTTCTATGTTGAAATTTTGGGATTGCAACGGGGTCGGAATATTTTCCTCTTTTATTTTTTTTACTTTTTATTTTTCTCATTATTACCTATCCCTGTTGTGGCAAGACCAAATGGGTCAACTTCTTTGATTCATCTCCAGCGGGCGGGCATATGGATCCCAGGAGACATGGAAACTTCTTTTGAAATATACGTACATGTATCACAGTTCATTCACCCGCTGTTATTTTATTAATTTTTTTTTCAGTTATTTTTCGTTTTGTTTGAAAAATTACTGGGGGGGTTATTTTGGTTCTTTGTCGTTATCTTTCCCATCTAATGGGATGCGTGGAAGGACGCACCGGTACCTTGTCAGGTCTGTGTGCTGCTCATCTAACTATCTTTGCAGTTACATAATATTTGCTCAAAAGATTTGTTGTAAAACGTATTAAACATAATAATAAGGCCGAGCGATTTAAAATGAGATGCTCCGGAGAAAAAAAAAACCAACCTCGTAATGGGTTAAAAATCATACTTTACACCGTAATTTTACCGGAAGTGCAGGCGCGGTTGTGAAGGAAAACAACATGGCGGACGCTGTCTGAGTGTTTACAGTCTAATGGATGTTCCCTCCTCGTCCTCGCACCGTTGACGGGCTATTTAACTTGTCTTACTTTTTAGAACCATATAATTAAGTAAAATGTATTCCAGGGCTCACCTCCTGATCGCAAGGGAGTATGAAAAACTCCAGAATGAGCCTTTGTGGGTATGTAGCCTTTACAAGAATACAACATTGGGTGATCTTATACTTTAGCACGTTAAATTCCCAAAGTCTACTAGATCTAGATCTAGATCGAATCCCCGACTCAGACCTTTAAAACTTGGAACTGGGCCTAAAAATGCACAAACTACCGCAATTTTGTCATTAACAGAGTATCACAGTGGTTTTATCACAGTGAGTATAATCTAGATTTGATAGATCTAGATCTAGATATCTTGTTTTAAAGTGGTCGCTCGTTACGGAAAAGGGAATAAAATCAATTGAAGTATTTAACGTGCTAAAGTATAAGACATAATAAGATCACCCAACATTGTTGGCAGAGACCAGTGCTTTTACTTTTAGGTCTATTTACTCATGGCTGGAGCCTAGTTCTAGGGGCCCACTTTATAATTTGTATCCACTATGCTCTGTTCCTTAGTTTCATTGATATTAATAGGCATCCTTTGTATAGGCCTACTTTTCATGGATTAGGAATTTTTAAGTTTCAAAGAATTTCAGCTGGAAGTTTTAATTAAGCAAAACTGCATTTTGTTCATTCATTCTATCTAGGCACTTGACTATCCTCATTATAAAGGGCTAGGTTTGAAATAGACACGTTTATGAATTCAGCCCAAAGACCACTGTAGTGGCTGTTCAGGTTGTGGTTTCCTTTACTACTATGCTGCACAAGATAATTTAGGGTGATCGCAGAAGAAAACAACAATCAAATAACTCTTAATTGTTTGTAGCCACTTATATGGGATATTCATAAATACACTTCAGTTAACCATTAAGGTTGATTCCTGGCAACATCAGTTCATCTACTGTCAAAATTCCTCTTTAGAAAGTAAAATGGTGGAGAGCTACTCATTTTATTGTATTCTCACCTCCTATGACCTATATGTTATAATGCAATCTGCCGCCACAACACAATCTGCAGCTGGCAAAGTAATGTTTTTGAACAGCATGTGTTTAAAGTGAAGGGAAAAAAACCTACTAAAACCAAAGGGACACTGACCTAATACAAAAGTTGTTCACTGGTATTTCAAAATACTTCAAAAATTAAATAACTTCAGTGTGTTCAGCATTGTTGGTGTCCATCTTCTATTTTCAGGGTATAGAAACATGGCCCATGTATGAAGATACCATCTTTGAATGGATGGCAAAGATCAACGGTCTTGTCAATACGCCATGGGAAGGTAGGCCCTAAGTCATAAAGTGTTAAAGTCATTATTGTGATGTTGTGAATATGCTGGTTATAGTTGAATGGCTTTGAGACCTCGTTTTTGTAAGTTGTGAAACCCTTTATTTTTTTTTCCTGGCAAATTTTTCTGCCATCAAATGTTTTAATTTAAGGCCATATATAATTGTCCTATGGACCATGTGTTCCTGAGATGTCCCGCCAGCTATCGTGCTAGAACCGGTGTGCTGGGACATTTCAGTAACCCACTTTCAGCACTTTTTAAGGACCCCCGGGCGAGTGTTGAATTCCTGCGTGCTGTCGGCATCGCTGACGGTTTATGAAGCCACAGCGCCAGAAGAGAGAGAGAGAGAGATATATATAATTGTAGATTGTAAAACATTTTTTTTCAAATATTTCTGCTATCAGATAACAATTACATTTGAATGTAGTCATACTGTGACCAAGTGAAAGGTACGGCTGGTAGTGTATTTATGAATTTAAAAAAGGATATTTACAAAATCTGAAAGGGATCAAATGGCAAAGAAAACTTAACATCTGAAACACAGCTTACACAGCCTGCTTTTGAAGAGGGATAACCTCTATAATATGGTCGCTTTTAAGCACAAGGGGGCTTTCCCGAAAAAATGCTGTTTTGAGAAAATCGAAGGTAAAGTTTTGGACTGTTCTTCAGTTTCTTTAAACGACAAGGAGAGTTTTCTCTATAACCAAACAAATATACACACCAATGAAACCAAAGTTCTCCTATATGTAAGGCAATGCTCACTTTTGGTGTAGGTCAAGATTTCTGGAAGCCCCCGAAGTCTGAGTTAGCCCGCTTGTCCATAAAAGCCAATATATTATTACTGCGCCATATGTTGCTGTTATAATAATCATACCATGTATTTCCAAAGGCTGCTTTCTCTTCCCCACTCTTTAGCCATCTCACTCTATTATGTTTATGAAATTCTAGTGAGGGAAAGCAAAACTCCTGACTTCACCTATGTAGAACTGCATTTATTTGCTTATGACAGAATCAGTGTTTAGATGTGATGCACCAAGGACATGTATTGAGCTTGAGGGTTGGGTTTTTTTGTACTCATAAGCAATAGACAATTCAATCATTTAAGTTTTAAAAATAATAATAAATAGCATTTATACTGCGCATTTCCATTTTCTAAAAAAAATGCTCAATGCGCATTACATCGAAAAAGACATCATATCTTAAAAATTAATCGACATGCGTGTACGTAAAACGCAGTATTATATATATATATATATATATGTATATATAATATCTATATGTATATGTGTAAAAATTTCTATTAGAAAAACAGTCTCGCAGTGAGGTTGGAGATGCGTTCACTAAAAATATACAATGCAATAAAAATTCACGAATGGTCACAATAAAATTTAAACATGAGTGACTAGAAACATTCATTAAAACATTCGTTCTCTACAGATAGAAAAACTTTTAAACTTTTACGTTCTCTCTCTCTCTCTCTCTCTCTCTCTCTCTCTCTCTCTCTCTCTCTCTCTCACATGCTATTTCCTCAGTCTCACAGTCTGGCATACACATGCATTTTTGACAGTTCATCATTATGACATGTATGCATTTATGAATTAAAATTGCCACTGATCCCACATCATCCTGTACACTCATCATGTATATATATATATATATATATATATATACTTTTAATAATCTTCTTTGTATTTCAAAATGTAGACTGAAAGATAATATTATGGCTCGTTTTTCAGGTGGCATATTTAAAGTCTACATCAAATTTGATGAACACTTCAATGTACGACCACCAAAAATGTCCTTTCAAACAATACCCTTCCATCCAAACGGTAAGGTATCAACTATCATTGTTCTGTGTTTGTATTCAGACAGTGGATGTTATTTGTGTGTGTAAATACTTTTCCACCAGTTGGTATTAATTTTGTAGTTTATGATCTGAGTATCAGTACAATATTGTTTCATAAGGAAAGTCTCAAGTTATCAGGATTTAGTTGATGATTACGTATGTCAGACTTCCGTGTGCTTACATGTATGACACGTATATCACAACAAGAACTTTTTTCACTGAAGTAGTAGCCTATATTGATGGCTTTTTAAAATAATTGCCTGGTTGTTTCTCGTAACAAAACCACACCGAATAGAATACTTATGTAGGATGAAAGACTAAAAAAAATAAGCAAGAAAATATTCAATGATCCCATAGGGACCAATGAAGGTTTTTCTTTCTTTTCTGTGTGCTCCCAAAATAATGTGGAACTTTATTTCTTGTTTCAGTGGAAGTGAGTTCTGGGCGTCCATGCGTTGATTTCTTGGACGACTATGAGAAGTGGAATGAGAACTTTAGTCTTTCAATGCTGCTGCTGTCCTTACAGGTACTTGTCACAAAATGGAAAAGGTTGAGGATGGGAGTGTGTTATTTTAAAGAAAGAATATAAATTATTTGAAGACAAGACATTTACACCAAGGAATATTTTAGGAATGAACAGAAAGAGGCAACGATGGTAATTCAGAATGCCATCAGAAAGTTCCAGGACATGTGTGGAAAAAAGATATCCTGTAAACATTACTCCTCATTTAAATCTTCATAGCAGACCCATAACATTGTACGTCTTGCACTGATTCCAGTACTCCTGTATTTGAAGGTGTTCTATAGCACTTCATTGGCTAATGTATGGAACCTTCTCATCAATTCAAACTGAATGAGCAATGTCTTCAACCCGCATGTCCCCTTTCTTTTTGTGTGGTGTGATCCCACTGACTAGAATGAATTGGAAAATTTTGCGAGTAAGTTCATTTGCAAAAACTGTCGGCATTGCCCATTTAACCTGGATTAGTGAAATGAGAATATTCAAATAGCACTGACTTTTTTTGTATTTGTATGTGAATGCCATTTACGTAAATGTATGATAACTACTAAATTTCTTCTTTTTTTAAAAATCAATATTTTGCAGTCTCTTCTTGCCAACCCGGTGCTCAAAAATGCAGTGAATATAGATGCAGCGCAGATGCTGAGGAATTCTCCACAGTCGTATTATCAGATGGTACAAGAGTGTGTTGTGGCAAGTCAGAGAGTTGAAGGTATCAAAAATATCTTTTCCTGCCATTTTTGTTTTGTTTATCATTTAAAATCTTTGCATTTCTTCTGTAAGGCACTAAGGAAACGCTTAAAGCTGGTGTCCATTCCGCTTAGGATTTTTTGGAAAGAGTATACATTGTAAACCCGAATTATTCAAAATTATAACTTTTCAAACATTTCACTTTGTACTTTTTTTTTTTGAAATGTTACTTTAGTTTCATAAGTCACAATAAGTGAATTATTATACCCTACGTTATTTGCACATGGGCATGCATTTGAAGAAATGACTGGACAGAATTACATTGCTAAGTCCATAGTTATCATTGCAAAGCCTTTGTCTTCAATAATTTTCAGCCTTTTTGCGAAACATGTACACTTGTCACGGACTCCCAGAGCATCTTGCAAAGGGTTGAGAAAGGGCTTCTTCGGAGTGAATGGATGAACCCCATACAACACTCATCACTTACAGCCATCATGTGGATATTCTGTCCTGGGCACTCTGGAGTGAAAGGCAATGAGGAGGCTGATAGGCTGGCAGGCAGTGCCGTGGTTGATGGTGAGGTGAAATTTGACAAAGGAGAAGTGTTGAAGACCCTGGAGAAAAAGTTGTGGGATGACGAAGACAGGGAGACAGCAGAACACCACGCAATCATTAGGATGCGGGAAATGGGGATAGAGAGGGGAGAAGGAAGAATAGAACGATTATCTGGAAAGGAAAGACGTCGCCGTAATCAGACAGCCTCTGGAACAATCAGTATGGATACTTTGCGGGCTTTGGGGGGAACTGAGCACTTATGGACCTGTCAGGTGTGCAATGACGTTGTTGCCCAGGACAGGTAATACAGGTAATAATACAGTACACTTGAGTATATATGATGATTTTACTCTGCTTCTTTTTTTTTTTTTCATTTTGTTCGTACCCACTGTTTTTTTTCTTACAGCTGGAGGTAGTCCGTATATTGGAACTGCTGACTCCAAGGTCAGGTTTGACAAACATCCCCCTGAAGGCGTCCGCACAGCCCCGACACGCGGTGTGGTCCGGGTGTCCAAGTTATCGTTTGAGGACTACCACAAAACTTGGAGCGGCATCGCTACGTCAAAGACTAGTGCCAATGCTGTCAATCCGTGTAAGTCTCCTTAACCCTATCCGTACGTCGTGTTTTACTATCGTATCCATACGACATGGGGAACTCTGTGCCCCCACTTAACCCTATCCGTACGTCGTGTTTTACTATTGTATCCATGCGACGTGGGGAACTCTGTGCCCCACTTAACCCTATCCGTATGTCGTGTTTTACTATCATATCCATACGACGTGGGGAACTCTGTGCCACCACTTTCCAAAGAGGAAATTTACTCGTTAGTCCGATCCGTACGCTTTGCATAGAGTCTGTCAATATGATTTTTTGGAAAAATACTGTAAATTTCAAGTAGAACTTCGTACTAGAAGTATTCTAAAATGTGAAGAATACAACCCTGGGGGTTCAGAATGACCCAGAGCGTAGAGATAGGTTTAAAAATATATTAACCTTGAAAATGGTGTGTGTGTGGGGGGGGGGGGGGGGGGGGAGTGGGGGATGTTAATCCAATTCGATACTTTTTTTTCATTCCTGAGAAAGCTTCAGTTTAATTGGAGGGTTAGGATCTTCAGTATAATTTTTTTTTATGTTTCAAAATGCCAGTATTAAGAGGTATTGGTGCAGAAGAGTCATGGCCTTGTTAAAAACTAATAGCCTTCCATTAAATAACAATCTCTATAGGTGGAAATTAACTAATTCGCCCTCGTGTGAAAGGTGTAACTCTCATGAAATTGAAGATGAATTTTACTTTATTTTCTATTGTTCACGCTTTGTCCATCAAAGGAAATTGTTAATTCCTCCCAGCCTGACTCGGCCCAGTGGCAGAAATATGCAATGTTTGACTCATGATAAGAGATTTGCACAACCTTTACCTATTCATTATGGAAACTTTATTTATGAAATGAATGTTTTGTGCGAAGTGATGTGGGCCAAAGGCCTTAAACACTGAATAAACTTACTTACTTACTTACTTACTATTAAGAGGTTGTGTGCTTGGAAAAGAGCTGAGTGTCAAGTGAGTTGGAAACAAGTTTCCTCTCTGAGTTGCTGAGATTAAAGAAACTTGGCTCCCAACATGAACTGCCTTAATTCCTTCAGTTATTCTGTCCCCGTGGTTTTATGCACCCCGCATAATTTAGCAAAATTTGATCATTTTTTGCATAATTTCTTATTATTTTTCTTTATCTTTCTTTGTTAAAATTAAGTTAACAGAATCGCATAATTTCACATTTTTTGGCTCATTTTGCGTAATTTCAGAATTTTTCTTGCTTAAAACAACGGGGACAGGTTATTACAAGGACTTTAATGATATAATTCTATATATAGACATGTTAGACAGAATTTATCATCAGGTTGTTGCTTTTTGCTTTTCTTTTTCAAACAGTGTTGGAGTCCATCAAAGATCAACATACTCTTCAAAAAGTTCATCTTGGCTTGCCGAGAGAAGAAGTGGAAGAGCAGATGAGGAAGCAGATGGAAGAGTAAGTTTTTCCCTCTTCTGTGACAGTGCTCTGCTACCTGCCGATATATATATGTGAAGCATGAGGACAAACTGAGTTAATTCTCGGATTTAAGCCATCCTGAAATAGATACATCACCCTTAAAGGGGAAGTTTTTTTTACAATTTATAAGTAGGAAATAACAAAAGGCATGTTATAGCTAAAGAAAATGGCTTCAATAGAAAATCTACAAATTTGACCCTTGTGTCGATTTTGGCCAATATCTCAGTTTTTGTGGATTGCGAGAAGTAACTCATCTTCTCAGCACGCCTCTCACATATATATATATCGGTATGAATTGTATGATTTATTTGCTCTTCTCCTGCTTTCAAATTATTTATTACCAAGACATCTTCCCTTGTTGTAGTTTTGATGCAGCACCAAGGTAGGAATGGGAACCCAGCAAAAGCTTTTGTCAGTGTATTTATGTGTTTCACCACCTCTAAAATAGTATTGTGCATGGGAAACCAAGAGTAGATCTGAATGTCTGCTGGGGTTATGATAATGATAGTTGTGAAGTGCTTAAAGAGTGCTGTATTCAACACATTGAAATGTGAGGGGTTTGACGAAAATTTGCAATTTCATCATGTTTGAAGAAGACAAGTTTTAAATTTTGAAATGTTTTGTTCAGAGAGGTGCAACTGTAACAGAGTCAATTGCTGCGGCTGTTTTGTTGCTGATGTTGTCATTGCAGTTATTGTTAGTGATCCATCAACCTAAGAATTTGGGTCCTTTTGCATGATGACTTCTTCTATGCATCCCCTGGCTTGACCTCTGTGGTAGTCGACTGCTTCCCCCGGCTAGACCTCTGAGGTAGTCGACTGCTGATTCTTCAACTTCATCCTGAAGTACAATTGATTTTTACATATGTGAGGCAGCGTGGTGGAATCAGGCTCTCGTCAATTTTTGGGCATGTATAGTTATTGGCGTCATCTTAAAGCTTGTTCGTTTGTCTTTATTTGGGTGAAAAAAATATCCATTTATCTTGAATACAAGTCGAGATATTTGCGAATGAAGGGGGTGGGGGGTCACCTGTTTTCAGAGATAAGATTAGTGAGAAAAGGGCCACCAAAGATGAATTATTTCCTTAGCTTAAGGTTCCGTGGTAACTGAAAATTTACGTTTTTTGTGCCTTTAATCAACGTTTTTCAGAAAAATCCATACAAAAATGAGTTCTTTAATGGGCATGAAAGGTGTTGAGCCAAAAAAACAAAAATTTGAAAAAAATTAACAAACCTGTGTAAAAATGCAAGTTTCTTCACTTTGATTATTTTGACGAGAGCCTGATTCCACCACGCTGCCTCACATATATATACGTGACCCTTTCTCTTACTTTGTAGGTTTGCTTGATGTTATGTAAATTTGCCTTACAAAACAAGTTTGTAATTCCCTTGATCTCTTTTCAGTCATAATACACTGATGTATGGCAAGTTCAAGAGTAAAGTGTCTCCGGAAAATGTACGAGAGGCCAGGTTGGCACAGCTGAAGAAAATGAAGAAAATCTACTTGGCACCAAGGCAGTCACCTCGTAAGTGAAGGGTTTTGAATGCTTTCTTTTTTTTTAAAAAAGGTATTAATTTCAATTTTTTAAATTTTTTTTGGGGGGGGGGTTGGGCTCTTAATATGTTGAAAGGGGCTTTGATGTGGTTAACTTTTTCTTTCCTATCAAGCATGTGTGTCATCATTATCTCTCTTCCTCATTTTCTTTGTTTGTTACTCTCTTGTGGTGACACCCCTATTTAATCTTTGGTACTTATATGACCTGATTGCGTCACAAATGCCGTAAAACTCTTGATTAAATTTAAAACTAAAGAAAATCAAATCATGACTTAGTGGGTGGTTGGCGGGTGCTCTGGTGTGGTATGCTCCTTCGTCCCTATCAAACATCGATTGTCCTTATCTCCCCTCCTTTTTTTTTTATGTTTGTTACTCTCTTGTAACACCTCTAATCTTCGGCACTTATATTACTTGACCTTATTGTGTTGCAAGTTCAGTAAAGCTCTTACTTTGGGCAGTGCCACTGACTGAAGTGTCTCTAGGCCATTCCCAAAGGGAGGACATTTCTCGTTCAAGCGCAGAAGAATTGTAAATGGACTGATTCATGTCACGCTCATAAATGTGCCTGATCTACAACAGGGAACTGCTGCTTTTTCTTTCCTAATCCTTCCTATTGTCATTTTCCTCTACTTCTTTTGTATGTTTGTCATACTCTTGTGACCTGCTATTTCTGGGGTGCCTTGATAGTTGAAGCAGACCTTGTGCTGTTGAAGCTAGAGAGGTGAGCAAAGTAAGTCTGATTCCCTGTAAAGACTTCTCTGTTGACACCCACCCCTCGGCGCATGACTTTATGCAGTTGCGAGCGCCGTAAAACCCTCTACTATAATTTTTTTTAAAGCTCTTACTAAAACATTTTTAATATCACGACTTCCTCATGTTGCAGTGCCTCCCAACCAAGACATTGACCTGGCCGCTGCTCTCCCCGGATTACAGACGCGTGACGACGGGAACGAGGGCTGGGAGAAAGAGGTGGATGATCTCGTCAAATGGACAAACAACCTCGACTCAAATGCAATCGATGCCACGTGATCTTATCACTGACGAGTGAATGAATCTGTTTTTGTTTGGATATGTTTTGTTATTGTATTTATTCAATACTGCTGTGGATTTCTCCATCTGTTCTGTATTTCTTACTGACAACTGTGGCCATCTATCTTTGATTTTGTTTTGCTCAACAAAAAACTGTGTGAATGTTTTGTATAAGAAATAGAGATGTTAAAGATCAGTGGTATATTGTTATTCATATCTCTGTCTTTGAAGATAGAGATGACATCTAATACTCTGTATATTGCTAACACAGCATTTTCTAGGTTCACAGTTGAACATTTTTTTGTAAGCAATATGATTAAAATGTTACGGTATGATTTTATGTAATCTTTTCTGCATAGTGCAAAATGTGAACTACGTTTTGCCCCAAATGATGTTAATGCTGCATGTGATGTGTACAAATTTGCTGTTATGTTTATTCAGGGTTTTTTATATTTAATATGTGTATACAATGACAAAATTTGTCTCAAAATTTTCCCTTGAAAGATCATTTGAAAGAAAAGAGTTGAAACTGGTGCATGGAAATTATGGGTTGTTTATTGACATGCACTAGCATATACCTTAAGCTACTCAATGTCACGGTTTATGTTGCTGTAAAAAAAGAGAAACAGTTTAGCACGCCCAGAGCGAACAAGCACTTAACGAAAAATGCCTCTATAAATAGCAAACAGATTTTCAGCTCCCTCATTTTTGTTGTTGTTGTACATTCTCAAATATGTATCGCCTGAAATTTGTACAAAGCGAACAGTTTTTCGTACCCCATCGATTTCGCTATGTGCATGTTAGACTGAAGTTTACATTGTGTATTTCACAGACAACAATGTTCAGTATTTGTATGCTGTAAACCCGAAATGTGACAAATGTACAATAAAGACGTGAAAAGAAATTTGTTAAAATCGCAACAAATTCTCTATAATAAAATGGGATTTTTCTGAATATTTAACTTTTTATTTATAAAATCTTCTGATTCAGGCTTCCACTTCGGTGCCTATCAAGATATTTTGTTTTTGAAGTTGGTTGCAAGACCGGGACCAGCGTCAGCGAAAAGTGAATTGACATACAGTAATAGTAATAGTAATAGTGGTCTGAGACCCCATTCCTTAGCCTTTTTGGCTTATCTTGCACTGTTTGATTATAATTTTGTAATATTGTTTTTTTACGACCATTTAGGTGGAGGGCTTTGACCCTGCCTGTCATCGTCAGGGCCAGCCCAGGCTGAGAGGGATACAATGTCCCAGCAGAAATACAGAGATACTCAAAAAAATTCTCCACACATGGGAATTGAACTCAGGTCTTCTGCGTGTAATGGCAAAGTTCTTAATCGCTACACCACAGACGTCAGTAAACTTATATTACCCTATCCGTGCGTCATATTTTACTATCGTATCCATACAATGTGGGGAACCCTGTGCCACCACTTTCCAAACAGGAAATTTACTCGTTAATCCAATTCTTACGCTTTGCATAGCAATCTGTCTAAATGATTTTTTGAGAAATACTAAAAGCTTCATAGAGATCTTCCTACTAGAAGTATTCTAAAATGTGAAGAAAACAACCCCGGGGGTACAAAATGACCCCAGGGCGTACGAATAGGGTTAAGTTGCCCTTAATTCTTGGACACATGAGGCAGTCCCAGGGTGAAACACTGAGTCCAAAAGCCATCCACTAGATAATAATAATAATAAATAATAAATAGCATTTGTATAGCGCATATCCAAGCTCAACAGCAGGCTCTATGCGCTTTACACTATATTATTACCCCAGCAGACCATAGAACACTCCGAAACATTCTCAGCTTCTCGGGAAGCATACAGTGCAAGCAGCTGATTAAGCGCTCAAACACTAACAAACTGACAAGATCTTTCGCTGTCTATAGCCGGGTACCCATTCCCACCTGGGTGAAGTGAGGAAAATTCGTGTAAAGTGCCTTTCCCAAGGACACAACGTCGGGTCCCTGACGGGATTCGAACCCACGACCTTACGGTTGCGAGTCCGAGAGCCTAACCACTAGGCCACCGACGCCACGTCATGTCAGACTGACTGGTTGCTGTTCCCGCCCACTTCCTGCTCATGAAACGGAGGAAGATTCCTTCAAAATAAGTTTTTTGTTAATTTTATAATCTCATCCATGCAGCATCTTGTGGTGGTGGGTAGAGCAGATGAGGACAGGCTCATCTCCAAGATATTTGTTTGAGCTAGAGTAAATACAGCAAGCACACAAACAAAACTATATATATATATATATATATATAAAATATAATTTACTGCCGGAAAAAAAAAGTAAATGTGAAAAGCAAGAAAGACAGACAGAAATAAAAGAGAGAAAGCAAAGAAGTACCGTAAGACCTACCAGTGGCACCCACCAAGCACTCACTCTCCAGAACAGACTTGATGTAATTTCTTGAAGATTTATAAAGAGTAAAAGAAGACAGAAATACTTGAGCCTTCTGCCAAGACAGTCCCTAGACTGAATGACATTCCCTAGTCCCTTGCTACCAAGACCAGGCTCTTTTCTTTGGGATGTCTATCCACCAAAGGTTTACAAACGTTTTAAAAGAAAAGTTGGGAAAACAGGATCTTATATATACAGATAATCTTCCATCAACCGGGATTTTAGATATATGTGGACTGAAAATGTGAAAATATTAGGTGTGTCCCACGCGCTCGTGTGACCTTATGCAGTTGCGAGCGCCGTAAAACACTTTACAAAAACAAAAAAGATATATGTGGAGAAAAAATCTTTTGTTTCGTGCCACTGTAGAGAAATCTGCAAGACAGATATCAGTCTGTGACCAAGTATTACAGAAGAGTAGGCAACACCTTTTACTCTCTGTCAGAGTTTTACTTTATATGGAGTTGCCAAAAGGTTCTATTTCTATAGAAAGGACTAAAAAGAGCAGGCATTGGATAGTTTAATTTGTATCAACAGAAATCATGAACTTCATGAAGGCGGAACGGGAATTCATCTAATTATAAAATGGTACCATACTGAGCTGTATATGATTTATATTTTATTAAAGAAGTCGTATACAAACAGGCCTCGTATATATATATACGTAGGGTTTCACAACTTTTATTCTGAAGAATCTGAATATACAGGTATCAACACAGTGAAAACATTCATCAACCCTCTGGCTGCGCCCAATGAAAATGAAAATGCAGTTGAAAGGTTAGTTCTAAACAGAAATTAAGAGCCACGGAAATAATTCTTTCAGAATTTTTTTTTTAATCTAGAGTAATCCCACTACTAGTAAATAACTAGAAACAAGAGATAAAAATAGCCCATAATTTTTACCGCGAAGCCTTTTCCCAACACAGCATATATATATATATATGCATATGCTGTATTGTATTGGAAAGAATGTACGCTAAGGATTTTGATGAAACCTTTATTATATATATATATATGATATATCTAATCCAATTTTTTTTTCCGACCCAAATTACAAAGTTTGTCCTTCTGCCTTCTTTAGCAGCAACATATGTGAGGCAGCGTGGTGGAATCAGGCTCTCGTCAATTTTTGAGCATGTAGAGTTATTGGTATCATCTTAAAGCTTGTTCACTCGTCTTTATTTTGTTGAAAAAAATATCCCTTTATCGTAAATACAACTCGAGATATTTGTGAATGAAGGAGGTGGGGGTCACCTGTTTTCAGAGGTAAAATTAGTGAGAAAATGGCAGCCAAAGATTAGTTATTTCCTTAGCTTAAGAGTCCGTCGTAACTAAAATTTTACATTTTTTGTGCCTTTAATCAACGTTTTTCCGAAAAATCTGCACAGAAATTAGTTCTTTTATGGGCATTAAAGGTGCTAAGCCAAAAAACAAAATTTTGATAAAAATTCACAAACCTGCAGAAAAATGCAATTTTCTTCATTTTGATTATTTTGAAGAGAGCCTGATTCCTCCACGCTGCCTCACATATATACTTTTTCCCGCTTCAGCTTAACAAATAAATATTACAGGAAAACAACTGTACAAAAATTTGCCTGAGATTCCAAGGTCATTCAAACTCACCCTGTTGCAGACTCTCAAAATCTCCATATATATTACCCCCATCCGTACGTCGTGTTTTACTGTTGTATCCATACGATGTAGGGAACTCTGTGCAACACTTTCAAAAAGGAAATTTACTCGATAATCCGATCCATACGCTTTGCATAGCAGTCTGCCAAAATGAATTTTTGAGAAATACCGAAAGTTTCAAAGAGATCTTCGTACTACTAGAAGTATTCTAAAATGTGAAGAATACAACCCCGGGGGTACAAAATGACCCCAGGGCGTACGGATAGGGTTAATGAAACTACATCATCCTTCAGTCACACAGCCCACATTAACATACATGCTCGTTTATTGCTATGAAACCTGCTTGATGACATCATCGACATGATTTTGAAATATATATGATTACTATAAAGCAACATGGTGGGTTTTCATATAACGTATGTACACGCCTGGAGGAGCAAGAAAGTTCTTTTTTCACATCATTCCTATAATAAAGCCAAGAAATATCACAGGACATCACAGTAGAACGAACAGTCAAAACTGAAAATGTCACCACGTGACTAACACTGAAAGATATTAAATCAGTAGCATATAAACATACTAACAAACAAAAAAGATACTCAAAATTACAGCGTTTATGAAAAAATCCATCTAAGTCTTAGTAGATATCACATCCCGATCCCCAGTAACAAAAACAACAAAACAACATTTCTTTTCACTTAAACAATCAGTTTGTAGTAAGGTGTAGCAACAGAAAATTACTCATGAAAAAAAAAAAAGATATCACTTAATATGGTGGGTTGTAAGAACGGTAAAGAAGTACATCTATGGCCCCGGTTATACCAAAGCTTCATATTCTGCCTAGATCACAACAATGATAGATCTAGATGTGACACACAAGTAATGAAACAAGAGATGTTAACCAAATGAAGTCTTCATTTTTAAATATAAAATGTACGCTCATATGACCTAATGCAGTTGGGAGCGCTGTAAAACCTCTACTGAAAAACTACTAAATATAAAAGGTGCACTATTTAAAGAAAAAGAGCTCTGTTTATATGCTGCGAAAATTTACAAGTAACATAAAATTATTGTATGAATGAAAGATCATCCAAACATAAATTATATCTAGGACTTAAACTACACTGAAACAAAGACTTTATTCTGCCTACTAGGACATTTATGTCATATATTTTAAAGTACCCGTACACTGTTCCTATTACCATAACCAGCGCTTGACATTTCAGCAATGTTTTAAGTTTCTTTTTAAAAAAATTATAACAGAGGTCAAAGTGATCATGGCTTTCGACTTTAAATTAAAGGGCAGTGAATTTGAAAATAATCAAAGGCGTTCTTAGTATGATGGTCTCTTTCTTTACTTTCTAATAAACATGAGAATCACAACAACAAAAAACCCACAAGAATCTGGACTTGCACTTGAGGTCAAGAAACAGGTTTAGCAACACCATCAAGTCAGGTGTTACAAAAAAAAACGTGTGCACACACTGACTCTAGCACTTGTATAAAACGTTTAAGATGCAGAAAATTGAGCACCACACACCCAGCACACAGACAGAGGTAAACAATTCCATACTTCCATTCCCTCCATCCACAGATTTACATACAAATACAAAAAGACCTGCTGTTGTAGAGACGTAAGAGCAAATATCAGTGTGGCTGTGGAACGTGCCCGTCAACGTAAAAGTTCCTGGTGGCTTTAGGCAACGTCACCTCAATGCCGTCCAACTCCTTCGTTAAGATGATCTGACAACCTGATGCGGGAAATGAAAAGGGATTGTATAGTTTTAACAAGACAGGCAATTTCATTATTTTCAAAGTTAAGGTGATCACATAGAACAACGAAAAGAAGTAAATAAATCTGAGGAACATCTTAAAATTTGAAACGAAAAGTTTTTTTCACTAATTACTGTAGGCCAGGAGGACTTAAGAAGCATTAGTCAAAAACAGCTTAAATTATTTTGTGTATAAAATGAAACTGACCACTTTCAGTCTACTTCTGATTGACTTTTTAAGTACCACACAAGGATAAAAATCAAGCCCAACAAACTGATAAGAACAAAAGTCGAACGAGAAAAGATGTCCAAAAAAAATAATAATGTGTATGAATTAGGGAAAGAAAAAGAAGAATTTCCTTCTAGAAATATTTTGTTACATTTCTGTGTGGAAATTAATAAGAAATTAATAATTACAAACAAAAAAGAAAGTGCCAGACAAAGCATTACGAGCGCAAAAAGGAATCAACTGAAATTATAGAGTGAATATATGAGTCTGTTTTCAGACTGCTGTGAGACAGAAGAAATTTTCAATCACACGTAAGGGAAACCAAGAGACCCCAAAAACCTTATATCTCTCAAGAAGGAGTGAACATTCAACATCTTAGATTTCTTCTCTTTACAAAAATGACCACCAAAAAAAACCCATCAAGAAAGGTTAAAGTAGGCCTATAACTTTGAAATATTTACCTAATCTTGAGTTTTCTTTAAGGAATGTTGCCATATCCAACATGTCTTCTTCCCTGGTGAATAAAAAGGATTATACATCAGCAATTGAACACAAGATTCTAAAAATTTAATATTTTCTCTTTTCTTTCCTTCTCCCTCCGAGACCTAACTTTGACAACACACTCTACGGAACATTACAGCAACTGCAGCAAACCTGCACTTATCACTACATGGCATTGGACAGAAGGGCGAGAGCCCAGATGTTGCTGGATCGATAACAACAACAACTCTTTTCTTTCCCACAGCCCAGCACAAAAAGAATTCCCAGTTACCCTTCTCCCTCTGAGAAAAGACACAGGGCCATGCCCACTTGGCAAACTTTCATCTAAGTTTTGACTGTGGTGTGGCTTCCATTACACCAAACTTTCTTAACCCTATCCGAACGTCGTGTTTTAGTATCGTATCCATACGACATGGGGAACTCTGTGCCACCACTTTCCAAAGAAGAAATTTACTCATTAATTCGATCCGTACGTTTTGCATAGCAGTCTCTCAAATTGATTTTTTTTAGAAACATTGAAAGTTTCAAAGAGATCTTCATACTAGAAGTATTTTAAAATATAAAGAATACAACCCCTGGGGTACAAAATTACCTCAGGGTGTACGGATAGGGTTAATTTTCCCATGGTCACAGAAGCTTAGGATGTTTACCTTGTGATAAAGTGACTGACTGCAGTTATTAACAGAGCTCAAATACCTGGAGTGGGGTCTACATTTTCTAGCTTTACATTTCCAAAATGACTTCTAATTGTACCATAGCTTCTATGTGGTAGAAATTTTGTCTTTTTCTTGCTGAAAGCCAAATGAACCGGACGTCTAGACATCACTAAATCAGTGAGATACTAAACTACGCTGGTCATTCCAGTAAGAAATATCTCTCTCCACCTGTTTGTCGTTCTCTCTCTCTATATCTCACTTAGCTCCCCTCCCTTCTCCTCCCCCTCCTCTCTTTCTCTCCCCCTCACACCCCCCCCCCCCCCCATTGAAAAGAACAAAAGGTCCATCACTTGTATCATTAGTCAAAAAAGACTGACATGCTTATCTATTAATTCAGCAGGCATATCAATTAGAGTTTTTTAAATTTGGAATTCTTTTTGTTTTTGTTTTTTTGGGGTAAGTGTTTTACGGGGCTCGCAATTGCAAAAGGTAAAATGAGAGCGCCAGACTCATAAATATTATTATTAAACTTTCAGACGGCAGGAAATTTTGAATTTTGCCCAGATGGCGGCGAAGACTACTCTTATCGATTTTGGACCACCAAGGGATCTTTAACATGTGGAACTTGCACACGAGACCTCCGAGATTTTTGCCCTTATCCAAGAAGGCTAGGTGTAGATCTTTCCTACCATAAGATCAGGGGTATGGCTGAAAGACAGCAGTAAGAAGGAGCCAAGGAGTAGCAGTAGAAAGGCTACACAAAGAGTCAGGAGCCCAGAGGAGGGAGCAAAGGAGGTGACGGGGTGGGGGCAGAAGGTGAAGACGAAAGCAGACGACAGAACATTGTTACAGAACAGGAAAGGAGGTGAAAGGAGAACATTTTTGAGAAGAAAATTTTCCATCGCTATCCGGATTCGAACCCGGGACCTACTAAATGAGAGATGAACACCTTAACCTCTAGGCCACGAGAGCCCCCCCCCCCCCCCCCCCAATTTGGAATTCACTCATAACTACCTTATAACGTAATATCTAAACAAACATCTCGTCCTTTTCTTTGAGATGTTTATAACATAAATCAATTGACAATTGACAGCACTTAAAAGATTATTACACCATATCCCCTGCTGACTTTAATCAAAGAAACTGGAGGTGGCCATCACTATTTGGCTACTTACTCCTCTACAGGTTCAGGTAATTTATCTGTATATTCATCCTTGACATACACATGGCAGGTACTGCAAGCCAGAGATGCTTCACATGCCCCTGAAAAAGAACCAGAATGGTACAGATCAGTGTTCTGAGATTTTTTTAATATTTAAAAAGGTGTAAAACCCCCTAATGACTAGCCACTGATAAAAGCAACCTTGGCATTAAGCTATTGTGACATTATAATATGTGTGCTCAAATATTTTTTTTAAAAACTTTAATGCGATACATATAAGCCAGTCTAATTAGAAATAGAACTGATAAACTACACATTTTACATGAAAATAACAAATAATTTACTAAGCGATTATCAATCAGGTCTCAGAATTCACCTTAACATCCCTCTTGATGCACTTATAAACATGACCTCAGGATCAAGCCATGCTACGAGTGTGTTCCAAGGGAGTGGGGATGGGGCATTTATGGGAGGAGGGAAACGAGCACATAAACAGAATTAACCCCTTGTGGGACCCCCATTGCAGACACTGTGACTACCACGAGGAGACCGTTGAACATCTTCTCCTTCACTGCCCAAACCTGGCAGTTCTTCGATGCAAGCTCCTACACATACCTACAGACTTACAAAGCTTGCTCTACTCTGGCGTTGACCAGATGACAAGAACATGTGGTTTCTTGGGGGAGGTATTGCACTGCCAAGAGCGAAATGCTCGCAGCTAGCTAAAGGGATTTGAAAACAACAACAACATGGGAGGGAGGGTAGGGAAGAATCAATAATGGAGCAGATGTGAGAAAAAGTAATGCCTCGTTTTAAAAAGAAATTGAAAAAAATATACAAAGAGGAGAAAAAAGACAACAGCGTACCTTCCATTTCAATATTGTGTCTGTGAGCGAGGTACATGACATTGTCACCAACTTTCCCTCTGACGTTGTGTCTCTCTCCTTGACGATCAATATAAACAATATTCACTCTGAAGAAGACAATGAATAAAATAAGTTTAGTTTTAGTAAGAGTTTTAAGGCACTTGCAACACAATAAGGTCATATAAGTGCCGAAGATTAGAAGTGTAACAAGAGAGTAAGAAACACAAAAAAGAAGGAGAGTAGATAGAGCAGAAGCAGATACATTTTTTATAGGAAAGAAGGAGCACACCACACCAGAGCAACCGCCAACCACTCACAATGCATAGAATAAAGATGCAATTACGCAATGAAAAAACACAGTACGTTAACAATAATAAAAAGTTGAAGAATACGAAAAGACTTTGCTCACGGTTAGATAACCTTATTTATATACAAGATTTAAATTATCATTTCCATCTCATCAACAGACGCTTTTAAGCTGCATATGATATGCTTGCACAGTAAAGTGACTGCATTATCTTCCTTTTCAGTGCTTTCAGATTTCCATAAATATGTGATGCATCGTGGTGAAATCATGCACTCGTCAAAATAATGAAATCTGAGAAATTTGCATTTTTCGGCTTGTCTGGAATTTTGTTTCTGAATTTTTGTTTTTTTGGCTCAACGCCTTGTGTGTCTATTCAAAACCATTTTTTTGTGTGGATTTTATGGAAAAACATTTATTAAAGGTACAAAATATGTAAATTTGCGATATCCAAGGACTCTTAAGCTATGGAAATCACCAAACATCGGCCATTTTCTCACTAATTTTGCTTCTGAAACCAGGCGACCCCACCTCCTTCAGGTGCAAATATCTTGACTTTTATTCAAGATAAATGGATATTTTTTTCATCGAAAGCAAGGCAAATGAATAACCTTTAAAATAATACCAATGACTCCATATGCCCAAAATTTGATGAGCGCCTGATTCCACTGCGTCATGACACATATAGAAAGTCACTCACAGAAATTGTGAAGTAAAAGGAAATTCAGCTATATGTTGGTGTTAAGACGTGAGTATTTGAACACCAAAACTACAAGGGTGAGAGGAATACTTTATTTCATAATTTTTAAAAACAACAAAATTTCAACTTACACCTCATCCTCTGACTTAGGATCTTGCCATTCATAATCCCCATGCTGCAGGCATCCTGTGAGAGAAAATACATTACGAAGTGAGGTAACCAAATGTGGACAAGAAAACTTCTCTTCACTGACAATTTTACTATAGAGTTAATTGTGTCTCTCGACTGAACTATAGCTTGTTCATTTTTACCTGTTTGCATTTAAAAAACTAGCTAATTTATTAGTCTACCATGTTGATGCACAATGTGCAGCTTTGCATGGCACTCCTGCAGGCCAGCTATAAAACAAATTTTTAAAAAAAATCTTGGTCCAGTTGTAAAAAGTTGCTTTATTTAGGCCCTAAATTAAAGTTTTTACACCACCCTCTGGGTGCATCATGTACAGGATCACTACACCAGTGATTTACTGTAATCTAGCCTTCAACTTGCTCATTTTGAGACAATGACACCACCTTCCACCCACTTTCAAAGCTTGTCAATTTCATCCCAACACATGTCTGGAGAGTCTTGAAAAGTACTCACCAATCTGTTGGCACATGTTTCATAGGCCTGCGTTAAAGTGGTGTTGAATTAGAAAAAATAAAAAACTTAACAGCATTCGGTTTGCTGGACAAAGATGCTACCTTTTTACGTTGAAGGAATTTGAACCTAAGATTTTTTCTTGTTTTTAATTCATTTGTTCATTGTGTTCATTTTTCCCCCTCAGTATCCGAATTCTCTAAATCTAAATAAAATGTTAGACAGTGGAATTATGCCGACTTGACGAACCACAATACTGAGAAGAGCAGTATAAAATAAAGACTGGAGAGAGGTAGAAGAAAAAGTCTGACAGGACATAAGTTCTTGATCTGGACTTAATAAGAAAAAGAAGAAGAAGAAGAAGAAAGAAGAAGAAGAAAGAAGAAGAAAAAGAAGAAGAAGAAGAAGAAGAAGAAGAAGAAGAAGGAGAAGGAGAAGGAGAAGGAGAAGGAGAAGAAGAAGAAGAAGAAGAAGAAGAAGAAGAAGAAGAAGAAGAAGAAGAAGCAGCTCGTCCGTCAATGTCTGACGAACAACCAAAACAGAGAAGAACATATATTTCTCCAGCGAAATAAAACAATTTGAAGAATTAAAGGTAATTATCACTTGTGGCTTCTCTTCTGCAGTGGCCAATGAGACCTTAATTCTGGCAGAGAAATGTTGGCTACATTTTGAACATAAAGTTTAAGGCTCCACTATCACTTCTTGTGGATGTGTACAGTTTGCAAGCTTCTCTCTTGGTTTCAGCATTTTTTATTCGTAAAGCCTCTAGAAGCCTACTGCCACTGCACTCACCCATCGCCGAAGGAATTTGATGAGGATAGACGACAAAGAAAAGGGATAGGATAGAAAAAAAGTAGATGTTTGACTTGCGCGAAAAGGTTTGCTTAAAGTGAGAAAGAACAATGAAACATCAGACTCACTCTGTTGCTTAAGGTACAATGTATCTGATTGTAAGTAAAGACAAGACAGTTAAATTTGTATCTGGGTGCAGAAGGTGGTAAGAATGCCATTCAAATTGAAGGTATTGAAGGGAAGATTGCCTAGAGCCTAGTAGAGGTACCGCCACAGCCTTGCAGTCCCAGTTCTAATTCTGGTTTTAAGTAAAATCCCCTGATGACAGATATCATGACATGCGACTAAAAGTAGAACGACTAAAACTATTTTTAGGTAAGGCGGCCATCTTGTTTGACGTCAGACCAGGAAACTCCTCCGATCACGTGACTACATCTAATACCTATCCAACCGCACGGCACCAAAGATATATCAAGCTTAATCTACCTTTCGCTGTTGGAAGTTCTGATGTCCGAATGAAGAGTGTGTCTGCGTTTTAAGTCATACAAAATTTTATGAGCATGGGAACGAATCCCAGTCCTGGAAGGGGTTTTTTTTTTTGGGGGGGGGGAGGGGTTATTCCTCTTCTCCTCCTCCCGACTGATAAAAAAAATCTAATCAAAGTCGAGTCCAAATAGAGCTGGCCTTATTAAAAATTAAATTATTACATCATCCGTTATCATATATTGAGTATTGCATTTGATCCTCATCTGTACTGTACTGAACACAACTGTTACTCAACTTAGGACTTAAATCAGTAAACTTAGTTACATTTCTTCATCCTGTCCTGTTACTAGATATAGATATAAATTCTAGATCTAGATCTAGAGTGTGAATGTCTGTAGTCTACTGTACTGCACAGATAAGTTACACAACTAACAAAATTGTGATACAAGACTAAGACATCGTCGACCACTCAACTTCGAAGGAAGGAACGACTGTGAGGGAGGTCAATGATGGATGAAGATAATAATTTCACCTTGTATTCTGAAATAACGACGTTGAGTATGCCAAAGTATTTGGCTGTGGTGAACATGAGTTGCACATTGGGTCCGCTTCAGCAGCGAGGTTAGCAATCGAAATTGTTTACATACACTTCGTATGGAGGCAGCCATCTTTTTTAGAATCAGCCCTCTTCAAGAACTTTATTTTCGTACATTACTATTTGGATCATTAACGTCAAGACCACAGATCTCTTACTACTAAAAAGTGAGTTCGAATTTGTTATATTTTGATTTAATAAACGAAATTGCTTTCTTTGGTAAAGGACTAAAACTGTATACGAAACTATTTGCAGAATTATTTCGGAATCTAATAAAAGAATGAGTTGCCACATAAGCGTTTCACCACCAAAGACTGGTGATAGGACTAACGTATTTTGGTTACAACTACAAAACACAATGTAATATAATTAATTTTGGTTCGGTCTGAAATCCATAGTTAATTAATATTAACTCAGGCCAAAAGTGAAACGTCGAGTTGAATGATATTCCTTCTTTTTTTTTCTTCTTAGTTCTTCTATCTTGACATTAAAATTCAACATAATATCTTTAAAATCCAGCTGTTTAACCCATCAAAACCCTTAAGCTGTGTCTTTTCTACAGTTTGTTTGAAAATATTATGGTCTTGACGTTCCCGTATCCTAGCGGAGACACATTGGTGGATAAAACATGTTTTTCTGTGTGTTTTTTTTTGGGGGGGGGTGTGGGGGGCGTGTGGGGGGTTAAAAGTGATTTAGATTAGTGTTTATTTTTATAGGATACTTTTACTCGAGTATGAAAGCATTTCAACAGAGCATGAGGAAAAGGGGTGTGAGCGCCCTTAAAGCGCAATATAATATAAGGACAAAACCAGTGACCTAATAAATAAGGTTAAGCATTGAAATGATGATGCACACCGTTTAGATATACATTTCTATCATTGTATAAGTATCCTGAAGGAGCTAAAGTACCAGAGTGATTAACAAACTGTCCTTGTTGTCCTGTAGGTTTTACTGAGGACAGAAGTCTGTTGAGCACATTTCGTTATGTCCTTTATTCACATATTCCGTTATGACAACCGATTTCCAAAAGCTCATTTGCAGCTTGTGGTAAAAAGCGTAAAAATCCAGTAGTCTTTGATACATCGTTTACAAAGATGAGGAAAAAAGGACGAGCAGCTCTATAGAAATGTTTCTTAGGCTCACAAGGAAACCTTTACAATCACCCCTACCATCATTTTCATTATCGCTATCATCACAATCACTACTATAAAGCCTAGCTACTATCACAACCATCCCTTTGCCACCACCCCCAAAAAATAATGAAATAAAGAAATAAAATAAATAATTTTAAATCGAACTTAGTCAAAATCATACCAGCCATTCAGCCATGCCCATCCATCATATGAGGGCGATTGTGTTAACATGTTGTTAAGTATCCTTCTCATTTCGAGCCTATAGCATGTCTGTCTGTCTGTCTGTCTGTCTGTCTGTCTGTCTGTCTGTCTGTCTGTCTGTCTGTCTGTCTGTCTGAACTTCAATCTGAGATCATTATTGTTCTTCCCTTTTCCCCTCACCTCTCTCTCTTTCTCTCTCTCTCTCTCTCTCTCTCTCTCTCTCTCTCTCTCTCTCTTTTTTTTCTCTCTCTCTCTTTCTCTCTCTCTCTCTTTCTCTCTATCTCTCTTTCTCTCTCTCTCTCTTTCTCTCTCTCTTTCTCTTTCTCTCTTTCTCTCTCTCTCTCTCTTTCTCTCTCTCTTTCTCTCTCT